ATCAGCCCAAGGCCTGAACATTCTCTGGCTCAACACAGCTGCGAGCAAAAAGATACGCCAATGTCACCACACCGCAGTGGGTAAGTGGGATTTCTGAGATGACCAAATGAGCAGGAAAGCAGTGAGGAAGAGGAGGCTGGGTCAGATGAGATCAAGGGTGCCAACCGACACATTGCATGTGATGGGTTGCTATGCTTCCCTGACGTGCTGTACCCTGCCAATGTTTAGAGCGAGGATGTGGGAAACAGAGTGGCCGGGGGGATCATCGGCAACAAAAGCATTGCAGGAAGAGGACGATGAGGAGGAGGATGAGGAGGAGGTGCGCAAGCAACATACTTGCTTTGACCGGTTTTCTAAGGATTCTCTTTGCTAGATCGGCACCACTTTGCCGGAAGCCCAACCCAAGGGGGCACCGCTACCGTTGATTCGATCCACTAAAACACTCTTGCCATTTCGCCTGACTCACGCTCACAGTCTATTGCTTCAAGGCCATCAATATGGCTGTGGGTCAAAACGAATGGTACGATTTTGGGGTAGGTGCACCACCTTTTAGAGGGGATTGAATGTTCACTGGGGGTACGGGATTTTGACCCATGGCCATATTTTGTAAGGTAGGGCATTCTCCTCGTACAATTATTTTCCTGGAAGATACAGAAGCCAAGAGGGATCGAAGGCTAGATTCCCCTTTCTGTGGAAAAACAAAGGTAGACATGCCAGCAGTAAAGTCTCCCTTGGCCCATTTGGACTCTGGACCGGAGGAAACAAAGACTTACGTAATCAGATCCTTTGCGTCAACGGCGGGCAGAGGCATCGCCCGTTGCTGGCAAGGAGTCCTCAGCTCCGAAGAAGAGAGCCAGAGCCTCAGCGCATGGCCTTTTCTAGCAGCTAGGAGTTGAGATCACCGGTCCTCTGCAAAATGGCCGACCCGTTTTTCTCGCGAAGTGGCTTTGGCCCACCTTCCTTGCTCAACGCTCGGCTTGGGCTTAGGCGAAGCATAAGGAGGACTGGTTTCGGGCCTTGGGAAGGGCACCGTGAGCCATTCACAGCTTCAAGGCAATCTGGGCTTGTCTTTGTTTGGGGTTGGTACCCCGTTTTTGAAAAGGCTTTGAAGGGAAACCATTTAGTCCCCTAGAAAAAGACACACTTATTTTGTTTCTTATTGGTCGCCAATTTGAGTCTTGCTCAAATATGTCCGGTAGTCTGTCTATTTGAGCGGGACATGGGACTCACAAGGCTCTGGACTATAGAAGAAATGGCGGGACATGTCCATAGAAGGCGTACTTCGAGCTCTTTTCAGCCAGGACAAGGCGAAGAAAGCAAAAGAAAGCGTCAAGGCCTGGCTTGGGCAAGAGAGTCACGTGTGCCGGTGCTACAGCCATGCCCAGATAGACACGACCATGGGGAGAAACAAATCTCCAGTCCATCTCTCCAGGCAAAGCCACGGTTGTGGAAGCACCAATGGTACCATTTTCACCATCCATTTTAGTCTATTTTAGTGGGTATTGGGATGTTCACTGGGGGTATGGGCTTTTGACCCATGTTGCTTTTTCCCGTGGCTGGCACGGGTCTTGGGGCCTCAGGAAAAAGAAGCGCGGAAGAAGCGGACCGAGGCAGGGCTCTTGCGGTTTAGATGCCAAGTGGGACGGTACAGGGAGCTGGGAGAGGAGGCACCAGGTGCAAAGGGTTTGGTTGACATGGGCTTTGGTGCATTTTTCCAAGGGATGTTAGGACTGGAACACTTTTTGCCCAACTCATCGGTTTTCAAACCCTAAACCCTAAACCCTAAACCCTAAACCACTAAAAGTTAGTCACTTTTCGCCGGGGAGTGCGTTTTGTTTCATGCCCAATCCCCCGAACCTGTGAGGGTGACACGCTATGGTCGAGTGTCAGTTGCGATTGGAAATCCTCGTCCAAAGTGACGCGCCCGAGCTGGCCACAAGAATCTGGAGAACCAGGAAGACCTAGATTGCCCGATGTGTTGTGTTGTGTTGTGTTGTGTTGTGTTGTGTTGTGTTGTGTTGTGTTGTGTGTGTGTGTGTTGTGTGTGTGTGTGTTGTGTGTGTTGTGTGTGTTGTGTGTGTTGTGTGTGTTGTGTGTGTTGTGTGTGTTGTGTGTGTTGTGTGTGTTGTGTGTGTTGTGTGTGTTGTGTGTTGTGTGTTGTGTGTTGTGTGTGTGTGTTGTGTGTGTGTTGTGTGTGTGTGTGTGTTGTGTGTGTTGTGTGTGTGTGTGTGTGGGTGCGTGCGTTCGTGCGTGCATGCGTGCGTGCGTGCGTGCGTGGGTGGGTGGGTGTGTGTGTGTGTGTTCTCTTGCGTGCGGCGTGTGGCGTGCATGCGTTTATGTGTGTATGTATATACATATATATATATATATTGTGTTGGTTTAGGGCACTCGTTTCACCTTGGTTGGGGCAACCCAATGTCCGAAACCATGTTGGGGCTTCGATTTTTATGAGCCGTAGGTGGGTTGTGTGGATGTCAGGAGCTCATCAAGCAGAAGATGAAGGAAGCGATGAGGCGTCGCTGAGTTTGGTTTGACCTGAGAGGAACAGCCAGCGCCCGCACCGCTTTTTGTTTGTTTTGTGGTAGGTGAGCAAAAGGGCCATCGCCACATGGGATGCGCTTTGATCTTCTTTTTGGGCATCCGGAGGGGGCCAGGAGGCTGAGGCATGGTTGCTTTCCAGCAAGCAAGCTCTGGATGTAAGTGGCTGATGTCAGCCCCAACCCGCCGGGCTTGCGCTGATCCGGGCTCCGCAGGAAGAAAATGGCGGCCAAAGCCAAGAAGAAGGCAAGGGGCGTGGATTGCTCGTGTCCCATGCGGGCGACGACAAGCAGAGATGAGAAGTTTGTTGATTTGCAGCCTGATGGTTTGGCTGGGCTGACTGGCAATCACTAGTTTGGCAGTGCTTTGTGGCACTGTGTTGTTGCTGTCTGCCTTGGGCTTGGTGCGCTTGCGCCTTGCTAATCTTCAAGTTGACGTGTTGTTTTCCCTCTGCGACCAGGCGAGCTGAGTACTCGTAGCTAGTCTACAAAAGCCTTTGGACTTCGAGTGGGCATGATTCGCAAAAGGCTTTTGCCTGGTTGATCCTTCCGTTGAGAAGCTGTCGGATTTTCATTCCCAAACAAGACCGGCGAAGCGTGTATCATTGCTCAAGCCGGAAACAAGCTTCATTGAACGCAAAGGCAATGATATGTGCTTCCCACTATCGCCCCATCCGCCCCATCCACGCAGTTTCTCGTAAATGCCTATGATTCCCTCCCATGGCTGCGAGCCCGCGCGGTCTGCAGATTCGTTGGCTTCTGGCGGTTTGGCTTCTGGCGGTTTCCTCGTATTCAGGTCCCACGCGGACTTGGTTTCATCCACTGCCGGTTTGCCGGATATGGAGAGGGGCATTGATTGAAGGTGACCGCAGCAAAGCACTGGGACCAATGGTGCGTTTTTCTCAGATGGGAGCCGTCTTATGAATGCTGAACCACACAGGTGGTAAGCAAAGCAGTTTGGCTTCCCCAAGACTTTGCTCACTTCGAGCCGCGTTCTTCAGATGAAACAACTGTCCTCAAGGAACTGGCGCCCCGCGCCACAGGCGCAGAAACCCCGCAATCTCCGCAGAGGGTGATGGTTGTTTTTCTCCTTCTTTTTTTTCTTCTCCGGATGTATGAGACACTCCTTCCGGTTTGGAGGCATGCTCCGCCTCAAATACCTTCCCACCCTTTTTACATGGGACCTGACGTTCGGGGGATCGGTCCTGGTTTGGACCAAACTTTCCTGTTAAAGGGGTCGAATCTCCCGAAGGTCGAACGGTTCCGGTGAAAAGGCTGGGTAAAACAACTGAGGGTAGCCTAAGGTACCCTAAGGCAACCACCAAACGAAACTACCACATGGGGGACCCTAAGGTACCCAAAGGTAACCACCAAACGAAACCACCAAATGGGGGTAAGGCGAAACCAATTCTGGTTGCACTTCCCCCGATGTTTTGCTCCAAGACACGAGGAGTTTTTTGCCTCCTGGTCTCCCGCGCGAGGAGAGCTCCAGCGAGGGCAGCAGCTCTTGACGTCGAAAAAAAAGCCGCGGGGGCGGGGGATTGGGTTTCAGTGCATTGCATTGAGCTCGAAGACAAGAAGATGTTCTTGTTGGATTGTTTGTTTAAACAAAAAAAAACAATATTTATCCAACCAACTTGGTGTTCATACTTTGGATGCTCAACAGTTCTCTTTTTTTGGAGGAGTTTGCATTTTTGATGGACCGGACATGAGGATCCGTATGGAGAGAACCGCAACTACTCGTAGCATGTTTGTTCCCCTTGGGTGCGCGTTGTAGGCACTGTGTGCATTGGAACGACTTGCACAAGGGAAATAGCAAGATGCTTCCAGCCCACGTTCAATCCAGGCCGCATCGCGTCGCGGTCCAGCATTTCAGTTGATGCTGGAGATTTGTGCCCATCAAATCCGCCAACTGTCGCCAGATGGGTGTGGACACTTTCGTGTGGCCCTTGAAAGGGAGCTATTTCCGGTGTCGTTGGGTGATCACGGGTCGCCAGGTGCCAAAAAGCTAAACATCTCATTGGCAAGCGGAACTCCGGGGGTTTGAAGCAACTGGCTCTGGAAGCAGAGATTGGGTGGTTTAGGCGAGAAAGTGTGCAGCTGCCACTCTGCAAAACATCTTGAGAGAGTCATTTCCAGTAGGCCTGCGGTTTGTTTGGGACATGGCGTGACTGCCGAGCAAATCCCGGGGAACGAGCCGCACATTTTGACCATGGCTCACATGCGAGACCGTTTTAAGACCAGATTTTGATTATGGCTCCTAACCTAGAACAGCCGCTCGCCTCCCGCAGTATTGAAATCGCAGGGAAGAGAACATTTGACTTGAAGATGAGTTCTTTCTGGGCCCTGCTTGATGTCTGGAGAGCAACACAGGCAATTGTCAAGTACAACATGGACAGCAAAAGTGCCAGCCCGTTGGATACTTGTTGCAGTCTGGACATTCGTAGAATCTTGGGAGCAAGA